GTGTGTGTGTCTGGTGTGTTTCTGTGTGTGTTTGTATGTGTGTCTGTGTGTCTGTGTGTGTGTCTCTCTGTGTGTTTGTCTCTGTGTGTATCTCTGTGTGTGTGTCTCTCTCTATCTGTGTGAGTGTGTGTGTGTTTCTTTGTGTGTGTCTCTCTGTGTGTCTGTGTGTGTGTCTGTGTGTGTCTGTGTGTGTGTCTGTGTGTGTCTGTGTGTGTCTGTGTGTGTTTGTATGTGTTGTGTGTGTGTCTGTGTGTGTCTGTGTGTGTGTCTGTGTGTGTGTCTGTGTGTGTGTCTCTGTGTGTGTCTCTCTCTCTATGTGTGTGAGTGTGTGTGTGTTTCTTTGTGTGTGTCTCTCTGTGTGTGTGTCTCTGTGTGTGTGTCTCTGTGTGTGTCTCTGTGTGTGTCTCTCTCTATGTGTGTGAGTGTGTGTGTGTTTCTTTGTGTGTGTCTCTCTGTGTGTCTCTGTGTGTGTCTGTGTGTGTGTGTCTCTCTGTGTGTGTCTCGCTGTGTGTCTGTGTGTGTGTGTCTGTGTGTGTGTGTCTCTGTGTGTGTGTCTGGCTGTCTGTGTGTGTCTGTGTCTGTCTGTGTGTGTGTGTCTCTGTGTGTGTGTGTCTCTGTGTGTGTGTCTGGTGTAATCGGTTTCTTGTTGTTAATTTAGGAAAGTTTCTCCGCACTTTTTCCTCCCGATAATGTTGTGATCGAAACGTCGTACTTTCTTTTATTTTATTTACTATCAGTATTTTTCTATCAACGTGACCTTAACGAAATTCGTAGGTGCACTTGCCCGGAGTGTCTGGTACAGGCTACACGGGGGATCTTTGTCTTTGTGGGAAACGGTGAGTGTGGTAATGGCTGTGTGAGTATGTTAGTGTGTTAATGACAGTGTAAGTGTGTTATTGACTGAGTGAGTGTGTGAGTGTGTTAATGGCTGTGTGAGTATGTGAGTGTGTTGATGGCTGTGTGAGTGTGTGTGTTAATGACTGTGTGAGTGTGTGTGTTAATGACTGTGTGAGTGTGTGTGTTCATGACTGTGTGAGTGTGTGAGTGTGTTAATGACTGTGTGAGTGTGTTAGTGTGTTAATGACAGTGTGAGTGTGTGAGTGTGTTAATGACAGTGTGAGTATGTGAGTGTGTTAATGGTTGTGTGAGTGTGTGAGTGTGTTAATGGCTGTGTGAGTGTGTGAGTGTGTTAATGACTGTGTGAGTGTGTGAGTGTGTTAATGGCTGTGTGAGTGTGTGAGTGTGTTAATGACTGTGTGAGTGTGTGAGTGTGTTAATGGCTGTGTGAGTGTGTGAGTGTGTTAATGGGTGTGTGAGTGTGTGAGTGTGTTAATGGCTGTGTGAGTGTGTGAGTGTGTTAATGAGTGTGTGAGTGTGTAAGTGTGTTAATGGCAGTGTGAGTGTGTGAGTGTGTTAATGGCTGTGTGAGTGTGTGAGTGTGTTAATGTGAGTCTATGGGTGTCCGTGTGAATCTATGGCTCTCCGTGTGAGTCTACGGGTCTCTGCGTGAGTCTACGGGTCTCTGTGCGAGTCTATGTGTCTCTGTGTGAGTCTATGTGTCTCTGTGTGAGTCTACGGGTCTCTGTGTGAGTCTATGGGTCTCTGTGTGAGTCTATGGGTCTCTGTGTGAGTCTATGGGTCTCCGTGTGAGTCTACGGGTCTCTGTGTGAGTCTATGGGTCACTGTGTGAGTCTATGTGTCTCTGTGTGAGTCTATGTGTCTCTGTGTGAGTCTATGGTTCTCCGTGAGTCTATGGGTCTCTGTGTGAGTCTGTGGGTCTCTGTGTGAGTCTACAGGTCTCTGTGTGAGTCTATGGGTCTCTGTGTGAGTCTGTGGGTCTCTGTGTGAGTCTACAGGTCTCCGTGTGAGTCTATGGTTCTCCGTGTGAGTCTATGGATCTCCGTGTGAGTCTACGGGTCTCTGTGTGAGGCTATGGGTCTTCGCGTGAGTCTATGGGTCTCTGTGTGAGTCTATGGGTCTCTGTGTGAGTCTACAAGTCTCATCTGTGTGAGTCTATGGGTCTCTGTGTGAGTCTACGGGTCTCTGTGTGAGTTTATGGGTCTCTGTGTGAGTCTACGGGTCTCTATGTGAGTCTACGGGTCTCTGTGTGAGTCTATGGTCTCTATGTGAGTCTATGGGTCTCTGTGTGAGTCAGTGAGTCTACGGGTCTCTGCGTGAGTCTACGGGTCTCTGTGTGAGTCTATGGTCTCTATGTGAGTCTATGGGTCTCTGTGTGAGTCAGTGAGTCTACGGGTCTCTGTGTGAGTCTATGGTTCTCTGTGCCGGGCCCTTCACGGCTGCTCGTGGTGGCGGGAGGTCATCGTTCATATTCACTGTCGGCAGCGTTGTTGACAGTCGTGCTCCTGCTGTTCCTGCTGCTGCTGCTGCTGCTCTTTCAAGCTCAGTGTCAAATGTCACCACCGGTGGTGGAGATTCCGTTGTGACCATCGCAAAGGTTCCATGAAGCTACGAGTGCGAATAGGTGGAGGTGGTGTGGGTATTGGTGGTGGTGTGGGAGGGTGGGTGGTTTTGGTAGTGGAGAGGGATGATTCGTGGTGGGGGGGGGGATGTGGTGGTGGGGGGGGGGGGTTGGTGGGGGGGTGGAGGAGGGGGGGAGTTGGTGGTGGGGTGGAGGCAGAGGACGCAACCGGGTACCCGTACCCGTACCCTACCCGATACCCGGCAACCCGTACCCGGCCGGGTACGGGTAAGGAATCAAAACCCGTTCGCAACCTCTGGTAGGTGGTGGTGTGGGAGGGTGGGTGGGTTGCTTTGGTAGTGGAGAGGGATGGTTTGTGGTGGGGGGGGGTGTGGTGGGGGGGGGGGTTGGTGGAGGGTGGAGGAGTGCGAGTAGGTGGTGGTGGTGGTGGGTGGGTGGGTGGAGGAGGGGTGGGTGGCTTTGGTAGTGGAGAGGGGGGTTCGTGGTGGGGGGGGGGGGGATGTGGTGGTGGGGAGGGGTTGGTGGGGGGGAGTTGGTGGTGGGGTGGAGGTCGGTTAAACTTTGAACTTCGAACTTTAAAACTGGTTTCACACACACAAATATCCCCAGTGTAGCCTGTAACAGACTGACAACAACCAACAACAACAACAACCGCCATTCGCCACTATGTGGCGGTGACGTCACAACGACATTTGTGCCAGGCCAAGTGCACCTTGAGGCCACGTGTAATGTCGAACGCCCGCTGGCAGGAGGTCACGGGGCAGACCCAGGTGCCACAAGTCGACTGACTGAGATGACCGAGATGACTGACACACACACAGACAGACAGTGCGCCTTTTGGCGTCATCTGGTCCAACACCACCATGTGAGACTAGGCTCTAAGAAAAGCTGTCTCGGGTGTGGACCAATCAACTTCAAGGACAGTGCATATTATTATCATTGTCATCAGAGTTGTTACTTTTTGTTTGCATTTTGACTGCTTGTGTTGTGGTGATTGCAAACATGATCCCTTGTATAAATGTGTCAGTTTTTGTACCAGTTGAAAGGGTAAAAACCTATTACTACGACACAGACATACACACAGAAACACACACACAGACACACGCGCAGAAACACACACATGCACATACACAAAAACACACACACACAGACACACACACAGAAACACACACACACGCAGACACACACACAGACACACACACAGACACACACACACAGAAACACACACACAGACACAGAAACACACACACACAGACACACACACAGACACACACACACAGAAACACACACACAGACACAGAAACACACACAGACACACACAGAAACACATACACACAGACACACACACATAGAAACACACACACACACAGAAACACACACACAGACACAGAAACACACACACACATACACACACAGAAACACATACACACAGACACACACACACACAAACACACACACATACACACACACAGAAACACATACACACAGACACACACAGAAACACACACACAGACAAACACACACAGACACGCGGAAAAGAATGTTCACATCCAACGAGCCCGGTGCGGGGCCTCTTCTAGGTCGACTCAGCCTCAAATGAGTACCTGGTGCGGTGTGTAAACATCGACCACTGGGGAGACAAAGGCGGCCGGGCGTGGTGCTGGTAGCCACCCCCTCGTGTGCCACAGCGCCGGTAGCCTTCACAGCTGCTGCTCGCTAACAGCACTTGCCCCTACAGCCTGTTAGATGCTACACGGAGGATCTTTGTCTGTGTCTACCTACACAGGTGCTGCTGCTACTCGCTACTCGCAGCACTTGCCCCTACAGCCTGTTAGAGGCTACACGGGGGAGCTTTGCCTGTGTCTACCTACACAGGTGCTGCTGCTACTCGCTACTCGCAGCACTTGCCCCTACAGCCTGTTAGAGGCTACACGGGGGACCTTTGTCTGTGTCTACCTACACAGGTGCTGCTGCTACTCGCTACTCACAGCACTTGCCCCTACAGCCTGTATAGAGGCTACACGGGGGACCTTTGCCTGTGTCTACCTACACAG